TGGCATCAAGCTCTTAGATTAAATATTAATTAATAAAAGTATTTTTAAATAATTTTTAAAAATAAAAAAGACTCAAAGTTATGTCTATATAATAAATTTTTAAGAGTCAAATTTAAGTAACTTTTGTTAGTCTTTCAAAGTGTTTTAATTTAATTTAGACGATCTCTCTCGAGTATCATTAGAAAAGTATGTTACATTATGTATAGTGTAAAAGAAAGAACATAGCGCACTAGTTCCCGACTTTCTTTGGTAAAGTCTTAGAAGATGTTGAGATATAACTATGTTCAGGATCACGTACGAGAAATTTCGAAGAAATTTCGAACCCAGTTTTAAATTTCATTTCGATTACTGGCCTTCTACAACTTAATTATTTCTTTAACAAAATTGATAACGCTTTTACTGTTTTTCAGCTAACAAACAATTAAAGTTCAATCGAAGGAAAACATAATTTGCTTACAAATTCCATGTAACTTCCATGTATACTTTATGGAAGGTAGTAACTGGAGGTTGCACGCTGGAAATTCTAGATGCGTGATATATGTTTGTGCCGATGTTCAGATGCTTGGTAGGTCCGTAGAAAGTTCCGTTCGACAGTAAGCTTGAATTATCGAGAAAGCGTGAATAAGTTCCTAAGTCCCGCTCAGTAACTATGCTGCCACTTTAAGACAGACGACTTAAGTGTCAGATAATTACACTTGCGGAAGCTTGAAAATGATTATTTAGCCAGATCGTCTTTTAGTATTAGCAAAGTAATAGCGAGATGATTAAGCGATTTAAACATTTTTTTACAATTAATCGGATTACTTTCAATCGACAAACATTTTTTATTCCCTTCTTATTAAAACCTTTAAGACCCTAAGACCTAATCTGTAACTCTTAACGATGATAATGATATCGTTATATTGTCGTTGCGTACCCTTTTTATTATGTAATAAAACTTGCGCAACGACAATGTAATAATACCATTACCGTCGTTAAGATTTACTGAATAGAAATCTAAATCTACGTGCACGTAAAGTTTTTGTTTTTCTATCTTCATTTCTTTGTATCATGATGTATCTTGCGTGATGCACCGATGTGATCGTGGTTAGCATTCATTGCGATAACTATAGATTTCAAGATCGTATCACATACAATACATTTTTTAATCCTTGACTATTCGCATAATGTTTGATACACTTATATTGAAGAAAACATTTAATTGAAATTACGTTAATGTATTAATAATCTCATTCATAAATACTTGATTACTTATTAAATAACAATTTAATTCTTTAAAATGAAATATTTCTATTTAACTAAAATTTTACTTCAAATTCCGGAAAAACAATTTCATAATATAATTTCACAAATTCCAAACTATAAATTAATAGATATTTATTGCGTAAACTTCATAATATGATTTATTGCTGAGTTTCAGATCGATTCAAAAGTTAAAAGCATTTATGCGTAGGTGTGTATAAACAATTATTTGTTAATATTATTATTTTATGTATCTACGACGAAATTAATTAAAAACTCCTTGAATTTATGACATGAGAAATGCGAGTTAATTATCATTTTCGCCATTCAATCGTATCGTGCTTATTTTTGCGTGACTACAACTACTGTGTACACGTCGAGGCGCCAGTTTAATGAAGTTCTGGACGATCATTCTTTCCTCTGAGCGATATGAGTA